AGAATATGTTTAATAGACCTCCACATTGTTTCGGATTCTCTGCTCTGTTACGAGTATTCATTCCTAGGTGGCCCGCAGAGCCATCTGTCCTTTCCATTCATAATTTTAATGGAAGAGTTGTACGCTATGCTGCACACCCCAAGCAGTTGCAACATTGTAGCCCCCCACAGACCCACTATGTGCTACAGTGTGGCCACCGCTTGAGGGTCAGCGTAGTGGGAGCCACCACTGAGAGCCACCATGGGCAGGGCTCCACTGTGGATGAACGCGTTGGTTGTGGCGTGCCACTGGTTGAGGTATCCGTGTCTATTTTAAATGTCGACAGCACGAGACGCGCGTGGCATGAATGAAGTGTCTGCCTCTCTCTGCTGGCTGCTGGCTGCTGCTGCTTGCTTCTCTCGTCTTCCTTCCTCATTCTAATCTGCCTCGTCGCATCTTGTTTCATCTAAATTTAATGCATTCTCGAGTGGGGCTAAATGAACGTGGAAGATGCGAAAAACTAAATCAATTTTAAAGTTCAACAGCCGCTCCTCCTTCCTCCCTGTCCGTCCGCCCGTCTGGGGACAGAATTAGAAGCCTAAAACCCCAAAACATTCCTTTGAATGGTTTTTGTGTGTGTGTTGGTTGCAAATTCTGTGGGAGGATCTGGCACGTTAAAACGTTAAAGCGAAGATTGAAAGATAATTCACTCGTTTTCTTTATCTTCCGCCATCTCTTTTCGCTTCTCTGCCGTACTCTCCCCTAACGGACACTACTGTACTTTAGCTTAGAGATGATTTGTGGCCCTGTCCTTGAAAGCCTTTGGCTCTAAGAAAAAGCTTAGGTAGGCAGCTGGTGCTCGATCTCCCTCTCTTTCCTCTCCCTCTCCCTCTCTCTCTCTCTCGCTCTGCCGCTGCACGCTTCATCTATTATATAATGGTGTGTCCTGTAGCCACTCGTTCCCATTCCCAGCCCATCCCCCCTACCCCTTCCCAAAATCATTTCGCGTTCAATTGTTTAATGTCCTGTGTTCTGTTTGTTGTCTGCGTGTCTGCGTGTGTGTGTGTGTGTGTGTGTGTGTGTGTGTGTGTGTGTGTGTGTGCGATAGAGAGCTGGCGTCCGGATATGCTTGAGATTAACCCTAGAACGGTGTCACATTTGCCTGTGCTGTGCTGTGCTGTGCCATGCCACCTTCCTGCTGTCAGATAGCTCTTATACTCCTATACATACATACACCCTGCCAGATATTATCATATTATTTATTATTACCATATCTATTTGTTGATGTATGCAAAAGATCTAAAATGTAGCAGTGGAAGCAAAACATTTCAAACAAATGTATTGTAAACGTGAATGGATATATTATATACGTACATATATTGTTAATATCTGTACTATGTATAAGATCTATAATCTACGCATACCGACATATTCCACTTGTATTGTGTTCATATTTATTTTCGTGTCTCTGTTTTCGGAAAGGGAATACTTACCACAAATTAACACATCAAATTTGTTTATTTGTGTTTATTTCTTTCAAAATAAACTTGAATCTCTTGGTCTGAGTTAATGCAAAATGAAGAGCTTTCCACAAAAGAGTTCATGCCATAAAAAATCAAAGATACAATTTTCGTTGCGTTTTTGTTCTGTGAACCATGCACAGCAAACATTTGGCAAGCTATAAGGCATAAGGCATATAAAGCTAGGCTAGATATTTCCGATCATCAGGATCCTGCTTTTCCTTGCCATCTTTTCCCCTTTGAAAGGGGATGGTACCAACTCTTCCCATTGTCTTTGAAGATTTTCATAGAAATAAACAGGAGGAAAAAAACAGCAAAAATGAAGAAAACTTAGAAAAGGCAGCTTAAGTCCTGGCAGATACGGGGGTTTGGAGGGGATGGAGGAGCACACCAATCCAAAAATAACAATATTTACATTACATTATATTTCCATCAATTTTCAAGGGTGCTTGGAGCAGTATTTCCCTGCCCATCAGCTTTCCGTCTATCTGCATTCGCCATTGCATTCTTCAAATTGCAATCAACCACTGAGCCACCACCACCCACCACGCCCCGCCCACCTATCCAGAGGCCCACTCACAGACAGCCGGACATTTGTGCGTATATAAAAGCAGACGGACGGACAGACAGACAGACGAGCAGGCAAGCAGGCGGACATGAAATTATGCACATAGCTCTCGCCAATGCCATTCGCAGGACTCCGGCATCTTTCTCTTTCGCACTGCCACGTAAATTGGTGGGTGGCGGATGGGCGGGTGGGGGGTTATAGGCCTGCTATTGCATACTTCTGAGGGGTTGCTGCCACACACCGCACACACACAATCTGGCTGCTCTCCTGCTGCAGTTTGCTGCGCGCGCGCCATTTTGTGCCGCATGCAACAAAGAGTGCAACCGGCTGGTTGGGGTCACGTGGTCGTGGTCGTGTCGTGTCGTGTCGGTTATTCGCCGATGGCGCACAAATATGGTTGGGCAGGGTGGCGGAGGTGGACGCCCACTGACGGGCACTGACGGGCCACTCAACAGCCAGGGCAACCCCTTTTCGGGTGGGAGGATGTTTGTTGCAACGTGTAACGTGACGAGTCAGAGAGCCATAGCCATAGAAATAGCCACCCCTGTGGTGGTTTGTGGTGCTGATGAACCCCTATGACGATGCACTTTTGTTGCAGCTTTTTGTTTTGGCAGCAACAAGGAAGCTTTTCAAGCCGCTAATTGGCTTGTCAGGAAAGGGGATTCGGAACGGTTCGGCTTCGGTTCAGCTTCGGTTCGCGGATCGGTTCGGGGCATGCACTATCCGCCCGCCAACCCTTGGGCGTCAGGGCATGGCAAGGCAAGGCAGGGCAAGGCAAGGCACCCTTTCAACGGTCAGAGATGATGCCTATTAAACGTCAATTAATGTCACCTTCAACAACTGCAATTGATGCAGTTGCCACAGCCACCAACACACGCACACCACACACACATACACACACACACCCCTTTTGGACCCTGGACCCTTTCCCTTTCGTACCTCTGGACCCTCCTTCCTGCTGCCACAACCTTCAACCGCTGCCTCTGCCTCTTCCTCATTCTGATTCTGATTTTGTTTTGATTGCGACGCGTGCAGGGCTTACAACCAGAAAAAGAAGGCTGGGCTGGGCTGGGCAGGGCAGGGCAGGGAGGATGGGAGTGTGCCTTGTGCCTGGTCGAAGTGGAAGTGTTGCAACGCACTGCATGCAACAAGTGACCTTCTGGCCAGCCCTTTTTGATTGGATAGTTGCAACAGGAAATGGCTGGGCATCGGCACGGGGTGGGGTGGGGAGGGGAGTGAGCGACATGAAAGTCAACAGCAACTTGATGCAAATTGAGAGGAAAAGCTCGGACAGAATGATGGGAAATTAAATCCCACAGAATGAATGGAGGGGGGTGTTTTCCTTTCCGAACGTGCTGGATTTTTCCCCATTCAGTTTTCAATTTCCACAAAATATTCCTTAGATTAGTTTTCACACTGATAACGCAGATATTTTTATTTTCATAAAATTTTCCATATAGTCCTTGAAGGATCTTGGAATAATTTGTATACTCTTTGGAATGTGCTAACCAAATGTATCCGTTTATTAACTCACATTTTAGCTAATGGCTTCCAGGTCCAATACAATTTACGTTCCTTAGAATGGGCGACCTCGTTTGCTGTTTTAAAATAATCTTCAAAAATGTCCTTCCTTTTCTTGTTTCATTAAATGCGATTAAAATGTGAGTTAAATTTTGATGAAATCTTTTTTAAGGCATTTTCTCGTAATGGAAAATATTTGAAACCTTCATAAAACGGAGGATATAAAAAACGTTTGAGAAAAAATCTGAAGCCTCGAATTTCCATTGTAAAATTAAAGTACACTATTATAGCCAACTCTACATATGGTGCATACACATCCATGTATGTATGTATATTAAACAGGCACATTTTTGCCATGTGTGGGCGCTTAAAATAACAGTACTAATTGTACTCTTGGACTTGAACTTTTGCCAGAAACGAAAAAAAATAAAAAATAAAAATAAACTCAAGGACATTGTACTAGCACCGTTCCAGCCCTCCGCAAACACCTCCTCCTCTCCTGTAACTAAGTACCCTGTGAAACGAGCTTAAAGCATTTTGGACAGATTCTACCCCATCCCCTTTCCCGTTGCTCGCATTTCGTTTTCGTTTTTCAATTTTTGGCAGCTTTTTGCGCTCTTTTTTTTTTGTTTTTTGTTGCTGCCTTCTAAGAAACGGCAGAGGGCAGGAGCACAGGAGCAGGAGTAGCTTTTGTGTCCACTTCCTTTGCCGCTTCCTTCTTCCTTTTCGAACCTAAGCGCCGCCGTCGTCGTCGTCACCATCTCTCTCCATCCACAATGGTTCCCCCGTGTGCCAGCTTGTAGGCGCGAGTGTGTGTGTGTGTGTATCTGTGTCTGAGTTCTCTTCATTTTTTGGGCAACGGCTACAGCGACGCCGACTGCGAAGCGCCTTGGGCCACTCACTCACTCACTAGCTCACTAGCTCACTCGCTCACTCATTGAAATTTTCGGCAATACATACCGCAATCGCATTTGCTTTCGTTGCGTCTTCTTGCCTGCTCTTCCGTTTGCTCTGGGGCTCTGCTCTCTGGCTGTGTGAGTATGCGTGTGAGTGGGTTTGCTTGTGTGTTGCGTCGTCGCGACTCTGTCTGCGCGCATAGGAATTTGGGCAGCAAGCAGCGCGGCGACGATTGCCGAAAAAAAGAAGAATCCCAAGGCATGTTGTTCGAGTGAAACTGAATGTCGTAGCGCTGCTGCTTCTGCTGCTGCTATCTTCTTGCGTTGCGTTGCTGCTTCTGTTAGCATTTAGCATGTGCTGCTTTCAGCTCTGCCGCCGCTTCTGCTGCTCTTTGAAGGCGGCAGCCTTCTATTAGCTCGTCAAAATCCACTGTTCGGTCTTCTGTTGAGAGAGAGGAGGGTTGTAATATTTTAAAACATCCTTAATATATATATTTTTATATGAGAAATATATTATTTAGATTTGATTTGTATCATACAAAAGTATCGAAATTTCAAATGTATGATATTTAGCCTCTCCCTCGCTCATCACGCAAAACTGAGCACTGGTGCTCTCTTTTGCTCTCATACGAAATGGTCATCACACTCAAGCAGCGACGCCAGCAGCGTTTTCTCTTGCTACCCTTTACACATTTTGGGACATTATAAAATTGATGAGACGTTTGCAACCAAAGGTATGAAAGCCAGAGTCTAGCAACAACATACAGCAACAGTTTGTTCCTTTTCCAACTAAATAACTCAGAAATCAGAGCCACACTCAAAATATCAATTCAATTACACAGCCGACGATCGCGACAAAACGAAGCAACTCTGCAGGCGTCGCAGTCGCTGGTTTGTATCATACGAATCAGAATCACACTCAATGCGCAAGAGCGGCGCTTTCACTATCTCTCTGCGTACGTTTTACAGAACGTTGAAAAAAGGATACTGCTCAGTGGGTGAGATGTTTGTAATGTCTTGAATGTCATCTTTAACTTACTTGGATATAAAAACTTCCATACGCAACAATGCTGGTTTGCACTGCAACTGAATTAAAAGCGTTACAAAGACTACCAGCAACAGGCAAATAGAACTTGGCCACATTTGCCAACATTCAAAGGCCTAAGATAGTGTTCTAGGTTTGTTTACATCGGAATCGGCCAACTCTGACTCGGGCCGCTCCCATGAGTCGCTCACCTTTGAATTTTTAACTTTTCTATGGAACATAGGGTATGGAAACTTTCATACCAGCTGTCCCAATTGAGTGTAATTGTTCTTTTACAAATAAGAATCAGCTCAACAAAATAACAAACACTCAAGGCGCGAGCGGCGCTCAAAATCACACTCAAAATCCGAAGCGACAGCGACGCCAGCAGCGATGGTACGGTTGTACGGTGGTTGTGGAAAAATGTAAAAGGAGACACTGTGGACTTTTACTGCCTCAATCTTTTCTCGGCCGCGGCAACGAAACAACAGAAATTTGGTTAAATTTTGGCGGTTGGCGCTTTTAACCGAATTCAGAAAAAGTAGTTCCGTTTCTGTTGATATTATCCCACAAAACCATTCGAACTGTAAGCAACGTAACGTCGCGGCTCCGCGTTCAGCGCCTTCTCCTCCCTTCAGCAATAAAAAACCAAAAAACAAAAACACACAAATAATATACACAAATACAAAAAACAATTTGTTTAAACCAAACACACAAAAATACCACACACCGCAAAGACAAGCATACTATCATTTTTTTTTTTTATTTGTTGGTTTTGTTATCAGAAACAAAAAGTATTCAAGTTTTTCCACGTTTCGCGCCACGGATCCGTCATTCATTCAGTCACGGGCGGCCCCCACTGTGCCCCGTCCCCCATGTGCGCCTACGTCTGCGTCCCCAAATAATTAGAGAAAAACTTGAACAAAAACAACCAGACAGAGCGAGAGAGAGAGCCCCATCCTGCTCCACACTGTTGTTTTTGCTTTTACTTTTTTTTTCGTGGCATATTTTTTGACTTTGACTTGTTTTTTTCGCTATATTTTGTTTTTTTCTTTTTCTTTGCTTTGTGTGTGTGTGTGGTGCGGGTGTAAGTGTGTGTATGGGTGTGCAACCAAAAAAAAAATATACATATATAAAAAATGTCCCCTATATATTGTTTTTCCCATTTTTTTGTTGTGTTATTTTTTGGTGTTGCCCCAAAAAAGATCGCCTGCCAAAAAAATAAGTAAATTCAGATCGATAAACCTTTTTCTTTTTGAAAACATTCCATTCTGTAAATTTGGCAATCACAAAAAAAAAACTTTTAAAACGCGCGCAAACACAAAATCAAAATCAAAATCCACACAAAAAACCAACAGCAGCGGCAGCAAAAGAAACACAAAAAAAAAAGACGGCACTCTGACATCATCTGCGCTCGCCTCCCCACCCGCCCCCTAACCGGTACTACTCTGCACAGCTGCCCCACCTCCCTGCCCCAACCCGCCACAGCCAACAAGAAAACATCAAAAATTAAAACACAAGAAATAGCAACAAAAGCAACCACAAACAACAAAATGTAAGCCACCAGAAAGAAACGAAACAAAACAAAAGCAGAAAATCAGCACCAAAATATTTCCCCATTTTTGGGCACATTTTTTTTTGTAGACCATATGCGAGAAGTGGTACTTTTTTTATCACTCAAACACACACACACAAACACGGGAATATAGTGAAAGAGGGAGAGTGTCAGTTGGATGGGTGTTGTGAAGGGGGCCGGGGGGGGGGGGGAGTACAAGATCAAAGTCATCAGCTTTTGGGGACAAAAGCTCTCGCTCTCACGCATAAATCTCTTCTAATGGTCCACCACCCCACTGTCCCACCAATAGTCAGTAGCCAGCTCTCTCCCTCTCTCTCTCTCTCTCTGAGCAGCTTGATGACGAAAGCAAACAGCAGTCTTCGTGTGTGTTTGTGTGTGTGTGTGTGTGCCAGCAATGAAAGCAAAAAAGAAAGCCGGCCGGCCGGCGATCTTTGTGCTGGGCGAAACAGCTGTTTTTAGTGGGTGGAGGCATAAGATAAAGCTCTGCGTGTCCATGAATTTTCCAGAAGAATCCCTATCTCAGCCAACTCTCTCGCTCTCTCTCTGTCTCTGTCCCGCAAAATCTCAGCCCAGAGCTTAAGACTACAAACATTTTTCTTTCGGCCATCCAAAAACTAACCATACTTTTTCACTTAACACCATTCTCTTTCACAGATTATTCTTCCCCTTTCGGCTCAATTGACACCACATAAAAAACAACAACAAAACATACAACAACAAAATCCCAAAAAAAAAACTTATTTTTTTTGGAACTTTTCACAAGGAAAACTAAATTCGAGCTCAAAAAACGCAACGTAAAAATTCAAAAACAACAAAAACTGTTTTCAAAAAATAAAACAAGGAACAAATATTTAAACAAAAAGCAAACGGTAAAAAGACACAAAAAAAAGCCATCAGTAAAACATAAAAAAAATGCAAACGCGACACTACTAAAAAATAAATAAATTTAAAAAAAATACGCCAGTTCCCTGACCAAGCCAAAAGTTTTGTTTCTTCGACCAAAAACAACAACAACAAAAAACAAAAACCAAAATCATACAAAAAACAACAGTAACAACAAACAGAACACACACACAACAAATAATCTGTCAAGGACATGTGTAAATCGAGTAATTGAGCGAGCGAGCAAACAAACAAACAAAAACATAAAAGTTCTATCATTCCATCCTCCACCCGCAACAAAACACCACATGAAAAACACGGGGAAAAGCAAAGAAAAGCGAAAGTGACGAGTAAGAGTAAGAGAAAGGCATTTCGAAAGATAGCCCTCTCCATCCCCGATTTAAAAAATTCTAAAGTGCTCCTCCACAAAACACACACAAATTTCCGTTTCGAATATCGATTAGGCAGAGAAGAAGAAAAAAAAAATATATATATAATTATTCCTATAGATACTACTATATATCGTATATACATACTATATAGATATATAAACGCGTGCTAAGCCAAAACCAGAAAGCCGATCAAATAAATACAAATCCCTCGCTAAACCAACAAAAAGTATAAAAAACGAAAGTAACAAAAATGGCATCCGAATTGGATCAATTCGCCGACTTGGAGCTATCGAAGGAGGATCGCGAACAGATCTTCGATCCGCCATTGGATCGGCAGCAGTTGGAAGGTGCTGGCACCTCAAGGTATGTATCAAAACTAAAGGATCCAAACCTCCTCCTCTATCTCTCTATACCTAAAAACCAAAACCATAACCTCTCCCCTACCCCCCCCCCCCAATCAATCCAAAACCATCTACTCGTACTATCACTGATTTCCCCATATATTCCCCACTGCCCAACACCCCACTGCCCACTGCAATCTGTCATCTGTAAACTGTAGATTTTTTTGTGTAGTTTTGTTTGTGTGATGCTTTGTAGCTTTGCCACCCACAAAAACTCAAGGATATCAGACCCCAGCCCAGCCCAGACCAGACCCCCCCCCCCCTTCCCCCTCTCTCTGCCAGTGTACTCGAGACTGTGCCTAAAATACTCTCACAAAAAATGGCGGCGACCAATTCGTTTGCGCTGCCCACAAACAAAAATCTACTCTACTCTACGTCACATAAGTAATGGCGAACACATGCAAAAAGGGGTAAGGATTGGTCTTTCTGGGCAATCCACAATTGCACAAATTATCACGCCAAATAACATGAAGCTTGCCCCTTGCAGCAGTAGCAAACAAACAGCATACAACGCTGCTAAATAGCAGCTAATTTCCTGTGATAAATTGGGCATATCACCCAGTGGCATGCAGCAACAGCAGCAGCAGGAGTATCAGCAGCATAAAAAAAGGCTCTCAGTGCAAGGAGAAGACTAAGAAAAGATCCTCCTCATACGCATACACTCATCCTTTTCCTCATCCTCTGACCCTCATCAACGTTTCCCTCAAGGCTCAAGTGGTGTAAGCAAACACTGGAAGGAACAGCCACAGCCCCAGCCGCCCTAGAAACCGAACGGAACTCTCACCTCACGGTAGCGAGGGTTGGGGAGGGGAGGGCAGGCGAAACTATCATCATTGTCACATAAAAACCAAAGACCAGAGGACCCCAAAAAGGGCTCTACAAAGCAGTAGCGTAGCGTAGCTCTACCTGCATCTAAGCTCTCACCCTTTTTTATGTCTCCTCCCCGAGAAGCCTGAGGAGGCTTCCTGATCTGACAAAAATTGATATACTTGCCACACCACAACGCACGCACACACGCTGGACTGGACTCTGAAGAGGAATCGAGTCCAAATAGGGTGAGGGAGAGATCAATGATGGACAGACGGACCAACAGAGAGAAGGTGCGACGGAAGGATTGGGAACTGTCCAACTGAAAATCAAAGTTCGACCCAACTCTCTTGAGGCTTTCAGCTTCCCATTTTCAAAGAAGCCCAAGTGCAAAAGAAAATGTTTACTTAAGACCTAAACAGATTATTTCTTGGGTCCATCCCAAGAGGGCACTGGGAATATGTACTACCGTATTTTCAGAATGACTCTGCTGTAACTATTGAGAAGATCAAATACAATATCCGAATGGGCAAGTTTTCGCCCTCACGAGATCTTTCTTAGTAGGCAAATGCCACAACAGAATCATCTATGAATAATTAAAGTAATATGATAAATGATAAATATAAATATAAATCCAGGGAAAGAGCTTTATCTGTGAGAGGCTTACATTCATCCGGAAAGCGCATTACCAAGCCCCCGGAACTGTGCTTCAACTTATCCTGTGGTTCTCTCGACTCTCTCTCTCCCACTACTACACACATTTCAAATGCCATTTAAATGTGCCCCGCTCTGGCTGTGTGCATTGGTCTTGTGGGTCTGTCGGGCTGCTGCTGCCCCTGTGTGGCAGAGCCACAGCTTGTTGCGTGTTAAGCCGCTTGTTGCAACAACAGCTAAGCTGCTAGGCAAACCCAGCAGTAGCCGCAGCAGCACAAAACAAAAATCCTTACTAATTTCTTTGAAGTATTTCAAAGTAAACAAAAAGAAAAAAATATATAAAATCCTAAAAAGAAAAAAAAATCTCACACACGCGAAATGATGGAACGGGGGGAGGGAAACAAGACACACACAGAGATATAGAGATATATATATATATGCACAGAGATATATAGCGAGAGAGTGAGAAGAGAATAAGAATGAAATCGTTTTTCTGTAGCATTTGGTTTAATCCTCCCAAAGGAAACATGCCGCTTGCCACAAGGAGGCAGCTAGCTTCTGCTTCTGCTTTTGCTTCTGCAGCTTCTGCTTTAGGTTTTTGTGCTTAGAAGTAAAGGGTTGTATCTTTGAGATCAGATCTCTTCTCATATGTATCTTCGAGTGTGTGTGTGTGTGTGTGTCGTGCCCCTCATATGATGATCAGGTTTCGCCTCAGTAGAACATTTTTTATTTGGAGATTGGAGGAAATATGATTTTGGCCTTTTTTTCGTAAGGTTTAGAAGGGGCTTTCCCTTGCCTTCTTCCCTTCCCTTCCACGGCTTCTGTTCAGAGTTCCGTTTTGTTTTTTTTTTTCTAGGCAGAAACACGTTTCTCATATTTCCAAAGAGCGTTCGTTTCTCTCGCTCTCTCCGAGTGCTCAAACATTTTTAATTATATGAAGGATGCATTGGCATCCTTTTTCCATTATTTTTTTGTATTTTTTTTGCATGTCCATCTAATGTTTGTTCACTTGGCAGACAAACGCTGTGACTGTGGATGGGGTGGGGGGGATGAAACTTCGAGGCTGAAAGCCCAGTCGCTTGCCAATTTGTCGTCCATCTTCCCTGCCTCCCATATAATCTCTCTCTTTCTCCCTCTGTCTTTCTATCTCAACCCTTTTGCTGCCATCTGTGTTGTATCTCGTATCTCGTATCTGGGTATCTGGCTGTATCTTTGTATCGCTTGCCACTTAGGCGCTTGTTTGAGCACCTTCTCGCGCTCCCTCCCCTTCTAAGAAGGTTTTTTCTTCTCCTTTTTTTTTTTTTTGGGAAATTTTGGAAGCAAATTTGATTCCCATCGATTATCAGGCAGGAGGCTGGAGACTGGAGGCTGCTACTGCTTCCTGTTCCGCGTCCTTGCTCGCCTTTTGCTTTTGATTGACAGTCAAATTAGTAGAGGGATCCTTTCGGCTCTGCGGCGGCCAACGAGTATTTTCACTGGCTCAGCTTCGCTTTTCGGGGGTAGGATCGGGACGGATCGCTTCTAGATCTAAGCAGATTTCTGCTGCTTCTGCTGCTCCTGCTCCTGTGGCAGCTGTGGCTGGCTGTGTTCCAAAGCTTGACCTTGGTCCATTGCTTGGCTTTCATTCATTCCACCATTCCGTTCTCCGTCCTCAATCCCTTCCCTGTCGTTCGCCCCCGCCTTTGTTTAGCGAAGAAGAACGCTAGCAGCGTGTACGAAACGAAGCTTCAGATACCCTTAAAAATAATTCGAAACCTCTTTTTGCCATTCTCATTACCTGTACGAATTTCCCATAAGCGAACGTACCACAAGATTATTGACAATGAAATCCAGATATATTTTGAAGATGGAATATTATAGCATAAATATACAGCCAATAGGGGGGAGATTACTGGGATATCATCCGCAAATGTGAATATAAGTCTCTCGCTAAGGGGAACTCCGAATAATTATCATGCTTAGCTTAGAGAATAAATTGATCTTTGGTCTATTTCCAGAGGGGCACCAAAACGAAAACCCCGTTTCACACCAGACTCCAGAGATTTGTTGTTTTTTTTTTCTGTGTTTAAGAAGAACAGAAACTCTATGCTTTATAGAGAATCAAATCGTTTTGAATGAAATCAAGTACTAGAGGGCCACAGACAGACATACAGACATACATACAGACATTCGTACAGACGAGATGGAGACGGAGAGACGACTCTCTCCTCTGGCAGTGGGACAGAGAGCGGTCGGCGGACACTTTACCTACATTTTGGCCCCGAATTGAGGTATTTGCTGCCCGCCCTGCCCCACATTGTTCGTGGTGGATACCGCCGGTACGGTACGGTACGGTAAGGTACGGATTCGTCACAGCGGAAGAGCAGAAGGACACCCGACTTCGTCTTTTGGCAAACGACTCTGAGGCAAACAGGATGCAAATGTTTTTGTGTGTGAGGGCAGGTAGGCGGGTAGCCCACGGAGGCGGCCGCCAGCACCGAGATCTTCTCTGAGTGTGTGTGTGTGTGTTGTGAGTCGATGTCAGGTAGGAGCGATATGTGGTACATGGGAGTGTGAGGGAGAGAGATGAACTCTTGGCCTGCCCTAATTTCAATATGCTGTAATCAAACACACACACACAGAGTTGGTCTTTGGGAATCGAATCTGGAAATGACATCCAGAAAGAAAGTAGCTCGAAAAAGATGGCATAACACGGGAGACCCAGTGTTTTTCTGTATGCATAGCTTTCTGAATAAGTTTTGATTTCAAAAGTCGTTTCAGTTTGATTAAAGATCCTTAGTGGATTGTCTTCGTAACATATCGAAGATCCTGAGAGTGCTATATCGAAGTTATCGTTATCGGATGTGCCGAAGATCATAAAAGAATTATCTGAATGTCTGTCTGCTTCGAAGTTATCGGTTTATCAAGGTATCGATCGTGTGGCATCTAATTGTTGAACGATCTGATCTCTCTTTTCCTCCCGCGCTCCATCTCGCGTCTCTCTCAATCTCTCTCTCCATCTCTCTCCCTATCTCTCTCTCAGTGGCAGCCACATTCTTGCCTGTTGTTGCTTTGTTGTTTAACTACATTTTTGTGTGCTCCTTTTTGAGTTTGTGTTCATTAGAAATTTCCAAGAATTCTACAGCGACAACGACACACACACACACATGCAGAAACGCACGTGAGAAGAGATGTGTATGTATGTATGTATGTATGTATGCATCTGTATCTGGAGATTCGTGTTACTGCTGGCTTAGTTTTTCAAACAAACCAAAAGCAAAACAACAACAAAAAAAAAAAAAAAACACACGCTGTCAAAGGAAAAGAAGGCATGCAGGAGAGATAGATGGTGCGATGCGATGCGATGGGATGACAGTAAGGTAGTGGGCACACATCCAGGAGTAGGAGGCTGCAGCGGCAGAACATATATATATATATGTGTGTGTGTGTGTGTGGAAGGGTCGCCGTCATCGGGGGCTGCTTCCTTTTTGTTTCGGAATGTTTTAGAGGTGGCTTGGTGTTCCTTCATTTTGAAAAGAAAAGAAACGAAACGAACATCATCATGAGGTTTATGAGGTTCCTCCGTCCAACTGTTCCTTGCCACATAGGACACTTGGACTTTCTTCCGCCATCCCATACCATTTACCCGTTATTTCGGTGGCGCGATCACTTTCTTTTCGCGAGTGGCAGCTGCTGCTGCTGCTGCAAGTCCCCGCCGCCGTGCGATCGCTGGAGCCCAGGCAACCCTTTTCTTCCTGCAGTGTCCTTGCGTGTGTTTTCGACACGCAGGTAGGGGCATAGAAATTAAGTGACCCGCAACAAGGACTCGGCGACTCTCTCCCTCTACTTGTGCGAGAAGAGAAGAAAGCATTTCACCGCGCGAATCGCGAAAAAGGGTTGGCTGCTACTACACTCGCGATCTCTTTCTGCTGCCGTCGTCGTCGTCGCCGTCGCCGTCGTCGCCGCACTATCAGCAATTCATGATCAACGTGGCCGGCGTCGGTCGGTCGGTTGGTTTTTTTTTAGGGGGAGCGTTGGGGAACGTGTGGGAAGGCGGGAAAGGGGGGGCGCTGTTCAGGCCGTTGAACCTCCGAAATGAGCAGCGGGGCACAGCTCTCTGCTCTCGCTCTCACTCTCACACAAACTCTCTCCGTTTCCATCCATCTCTTGTGTATTAAGTTAAGCGGTTTGTTGCCGCCTGTTTACAACTGTTTTAACCGTTGTTCTCGCTTTATTCACTTAACTTTTGCTGGCCGCGTTTTTATTCTTGAGCTTTTTTTTTATTTTTGCGGTCAGCATATGGTTGCATATGTACATATGCAAACATACATACATATGTACATACATATATACATAAATATGTATCGCTGGTGATGACAGTGTTGGCAAGCGTGTAATTATCACACATGCATGTGTGGCGACACAGATATACATACGTATGTACATATGTTTGTTTGTATGTATGTAAAGGCAATCAATGACCGGAAATAACAAATAGTTGACGCGCGCGCGCTCCTGTTGTTGTCTTTGTATTGTTGCGACAGGGTCGCGTCGGGGGTCGAGGGTCGGGTTCCATGCCAAAACAACCGCATGAACCACAACAACAACAAAAACAACACACACAGACACACACGCATACAAAGGCACGCGTGGCGTCAGCAGCGATGCACGCATGCAGGGCGTGACGTAATCAGTTGCTGCACTTTGCTGTGTGGTTACACATATGTATGTAGAGAACGTGAAAGCAAAAGAGAACCGACCGACTGCAAAAACAACTTTGCCAAAACATGCCCGAGCACACACACATCCATGTGCACGACGCTGATCATTCACGTAAGAGAGCAAGACGGAGAGTAAGACAGCGCAACAATTTTGAAAGAGAGCGTTCGTGCTCTCTTTGCGACACTTGACAGTGCCAGGCGTTGCCAGACTGGTGGTCGCGTTTGTGGATCCTGAAAGTGGAACCTAACTGATCCTATTCAAAAAAATTTAAATTACAAAAACAATATAGTGGGGAAGTATTTTGACAACTTTAATTAACAAATAAACAAAATATGAATACTCTTCTTGCGACCCCTTATGCATATGTGGGATCATAAAATAACATTATTTTATTGATGTACGTTCATTGAATTCACGTAAAAACTTAAGCCAATCTCGTGCTCCCCTTTTCAGCAGCCTGGCATCGCTTTGCCATAGCACGTAATGGCTTTACGTCAGTTGTGGGGCCGGCCTCTCTGTCATTTCTCCTACTTTACCTCCTCCGTCTTTTCGCGAAACACGCACATACCCATACAAAGAGACACGAGACAACCGAAGTTTTGTTGGCGCTCGTTCCGAAACTTTGACTCACTCACTCCCCAATTGCTTGTTCTCTCATCCTCGCTGTCACTCTCTCTCCTCTCCCGCCGTTTCTGGGGCTCTGTTGCTGCTGCTACTGCTGGAGCTGCCTCTACTGGGGTCTTTGTCGAAGTGCGAGTGCCAGTCAGTATTTCGAAAACTCTGCTGTTCGCTTTTCGGTTTCGCTGAGCAAATAAAATTTATATTTTCAAAGGGAATCGAGTCCCAGGGAACAAAAAAGAGCAACATTTTTGTTGACATTTCGATGTTGTTTCAAAGGTGCAACAGGTTTTTTCGTTTGATCATTTTACTGTAATTTTCTCCCATCTGGCAACCATAAAACGTAACCACTACGTAAGCAAACTGACAGCGCACCCACGTCTTTCTTTCACTCATAATGGAACGCAAAATGAGCTCTCCGGTTTGGTATGAGTGCTTTTTTTCCATGCCAAACCAACCAAGGCCAATCACGCTCAAAAGCCCAACGCAACTCCAACTCCGACGTAACGTATGAGTTTTACGTACCGGGCCAACTGCGCGCTTACGTATTTGTATTTTGTCATTCACTCTTCACTCTTTCTCCCGGTCTTTTCGGAAATACGCGGCGTAGTTGCACAAATAAAAAGCAACAGAACAGAAACAACAAAAGCAACAATTATAAAATATTATAAGCCAGCCAATTGGTGTGTGTATGTGTGTGTCGGTACAACGTGTACGTGTGGTTCTTTTTTTTTAATATATGCATACATATATATTTTTTTGTATTCTTTCATTTCCACACAACGAGCGCTCACGCTTTTAGGCATCAATAAAAAAAAAAAAAAAAATAGAAATATGATTGATACAGTATTGCGGTTTTTTTTTAAATAATTTTTTTGCCACTGAAACACGAAAAATAGTGCAAAAAACTACAACAACAGCAGCAGCAGCAGCAAACGAATGAAAAGCAAAAAAAGCAAGAGTGTGTGTCGTGTCTTTAGCCCCAATCTCCTGCCCACGCTATTTCGTAGTTTTTTGCCACCCATTTGCCTGCTCTTTCTCCCTCCTCCTCTTCTGATTGTCGTGTGGTCGTGCGTTTATCTACAAAAACACACACACACAAAGGCAACGAACACATGCAGACACCCACATATAAACTGTGGATGGGGAGTGGACAGAAGAGCAGACAAGACAAAAGAAGAGAAGAGTGGAGAAGAAGAAAACTACACACAAAACAAAAATAACAAATCTTTGCATTGGATACGACGTACCGTTATGACAGACACCGGTGTGCCACTTTCCGCCGGCGCCGCGTTTTCTCATCTCACTCTTAGTCTCTGTCCCACTGGCTCTTTTCGGTTGCCTTTCCACTACACCACATATCCCAGTGCCTCGCGTAAAGCATAAGGCAGAGGAAACCAAAACCAAGTCCGCGTCGATGATAATGATGATCCCATAAACTGTTTCCAAGAATATGAGAGTGAAGGCTAAAGCCAGTGCCAGAGCCAGACCCAGAGATCAAGTTGAATTCGTGCAACTTTGTGTTTGAAGAAACTGCTGTGCCACCAATTTGTCTAAAAACCTAAACCAATCGGAGAAGGAAAAATAAAAGCGCTTTCTGCCAATGTGGGGGATTGGATACCGCATTTTTGATACCCCATAGTCGGAATTTCTGTTTTTTTTTTTTGTTTGTTTGTAGAATGCAGAATATAAACTGTTTCCTGGAACCCCAATTCGTATTCATATTTGTAGATCATGTCCTGATCAGATTACAGCTTCTGCTGCTGCTGTTGCAGCTGAGCGAAACTGCTATAGTAGTCGGAATTTGGCAGAACAAGAAATAAGGGAAGGCTCTTATTTAACGATCCTCATTACGAGTGTTAGATTTTCATATTTTGCTTTCCAATTTCGCCAAATAATTTGAGTGCGTTGCTTTTTGCGCCATTTCTTTTGTTGTTGAAAAAGTGCGCAACGCACACGTTGAAAATCAATTGGCGGAAAACCCATGTGTGTGGAGCAGCAGCTGGACACTGGACACTGACCTACTTTGCCGTCTCTGGTATTCATTCCCATGCTATAACGGTAACTGCCCGTGGCTGTGGCAACCCTGGTCAGACTGGACTGCAGAATGTGGCAGCAGTGGCTGTTGCTAATTAGCCAAACACGTTTTCACATTTCGGATCTCGGATCAGAAATCAGAAAATGGTTCAATCACGCCGCTGCTGCTTGTCCCACTAATGCGTGATAGGCGATCGATCGATCACACGCTCTCTCTCTCTCTCTTCCTCGCTTCCTCTCTTCCTCCGTTTCTCTTTCTTTCGCTATGTGTGTGCTTGTTCGTGTTCATGTGACTCATGCTGTGGAATAGAAGAAAAGCGAAACAAAAAGAATCGCAAAGAAAACTAAAGCCCATACACATGACCACTAAAAATAACAAGAACAACAACTAGAAGAATCCGCAGCAGAGAGCAAGCAGAGTGGGCAAAAAGAACTCAAAGAAGAATCACTGGAAGAGAGAGAGAGCAAAAAAACTTGAAGAAGCAGAAGTTAAAGAGAGCAGAAAATCTAAAACGAAGAAAAACACCGAAAATCATATCAGCAAATTATTTTTTTTTTGAGAGAGAAAGAGAGCGCTTGAAGCTTTTGGAAAGTGAGAGATTAAAGAGTGAACGAGAGATGAAGTATTGTCAGAGATAAGCAACAGAGAGAGGGAGATAGAGCACTTCTAACGTGCTTCTAACGTTCTCTCTCTCCCCCCTCCCTCTCTCTATCTATTTGCTTATTCCCATTGCGAATTGTGAAATATAGACAGACAAGAGAAAAACACACACAAAATAAAAACGAAAAGAAACATCCAGTAGTCGATCGATCCTCCCCGTTCAGATCGTGTGGAAGGTGACTGGAAGTGCAAGTGGTAGAAAGCGGCGCGGGCCCTGGGCGACACACGATAGATAACAGTTTGGAAAAGTTAAATAATATTTGTATAATATTATAAGGAATATTCGAAATTCGAAAAGTCTACACCAGACACATAAATATATATAAAAACTAATCAAAAATGCACCCAAACAACAATATCAACATCCACAACAACCAAAATAGACTCAATAATAATAACAATAATATTAACAATAATATACCCAACAACAACAACGTTTTCTATCAACAAAAACAACATACATTTATACGGTACTTGGATCGGTGAGTGTTTCTATTGAGTCAGTCTCCGTGTCGGCCTCCCCTCCCTCTCCCACCATTCATGTACTCGCCATTTCATATCATACATACATACATACATCTAATATCTGTACTCCCGTGTTCGTGTACTCATTTTCATACTCTCTCTCCCGCACCTTTCGAATTGCAGTTTGTTTTTGTTGCTTATTTTAGGCGTGGGATTCCTGGAATCACTGTGGTGGTCACAACTTTTATGATATGACACTATCGTTGTATTGAATCATTGCATCAATCAATCTGTTTAAATCCAAATCAAACTAATCGGAAAAATTATAGTCGCAAACATGAGAGTGTTGCAGGGGAGTAGATATGTATGTACATATGTATAGTGTAGGAAGTATGGTACATACATACATACATACATATGTATGTAGGGGAAAAAGGGGAATGTCCGGTCATTAATCCCAGTTAAAGTGAAAGAAAGTTTCACCACTGCCCCCGTGTCTCTCCCTCTTTCTCTCTCTGTGTATCCTTTATGTCATTCATCATTCTGTCATGTGGTTCAAATTAAAATGAATCACAAAGGCGTAGGCAAAGGGCGAAGTTTAAAATACCCTTTCCCAAAATGCTGCCTTTCAAGTCGCTCAATAAATTCCACTAAAAATTCTTTGGTCATTTTTACACGTCACGTGTTCCCTTTGCAAAATTTTTGTATAATGACGTTCGTTCAAACAATAGAATCAATTATCTAACAAAACCGTCAAACATGAAAACTGAATTTGTAAGCAGTGAAACTCACGTCGAGCATCATCCACACGACATGTATGTTGTTTTTGAAATTCTCGGGCTTAAAAAACGCTCCTTATATTTTTCATATGGCAGCTAGTATGAATATGATGATACAAATATGATCCTTAGGGGACTTAGGGAATTCGAATACGCCACTGCCACTGCAGTGGCAAAGGGTACTACGAGTACATGCATCTGCAATTGTTTGTTTTCGAGCGTGTGGTGTTCATTGGTTGCTGGTGTGGCTCTTTGTCCATTTTTAATGGTCCCCATTGCTGTCGTCTCCATATGGCAGCTTTGTGGCACGCCCACCGCCGACACCGCCTGCTTGCACCCTGTTGCACACAGCGCACATTCGAGTATTGGCTGCAACCAATAAATACCACCAGCCTCCTCTTTCCTTCCTGCCATCCTCCAACTCCTTCAAACACACACACACACACACACTCCTTGTTCGCCATTTTGTCATTTGCATTCACTTTTACATGTTGATGATGATGATACTCGAACCCCCCCACATAACACTCGCAAAAAAAAAAACACCAAAACAGAAATAACGAGGCAGGGCAGTGGGCAAAGCAGCAATATGAATGTATCCATAAAATAGAACAAATTGGTCTTAGATATGCGCATATGTACATGCATACATACGAGTATATTGTAGTAGGAGGAGAAATATGTACATACCCTGATAAAAATTACAGTGGGCGCCGCCCACCACATCACTTTGTATGCCCAAGAATCAATAATTATTAGAAATGCCGATGCAGACAAAGGAGCAAGGTACTCCTCTCAGAGTATGGTTAAGGTATTTTTGTTTCTTTATTTCTGTGCCGGGAAGGAGATTGTTCTTCCATAGTACCAAAAGATACGAAATGTGCAACAAGTTCGTGTCTGTGCAGCGAGAGGTTCCACTGTACATACATATGTGCATGAAAAAGGCAATGGAGGGGGAGCAGGCAATACAAATTTAGGTCAAAGCGCTGCTGCTGCCGGCTGCTCGGCTTTGGCTCCCTGCTCTCAGGGGAAACAAGTTTCTTTTTTTTCTTTTTATGTCGTTTTTTTTGCAAAGTCTAACCAAGAGTAGAGGGGGAATAGATAAGCTTTCAAAAAAATATATATAAAAAAAACTAACGTTACTTCTCTCTCTATTCTAACTGCACAACAATCGCAACAGCAACTTGTGGAATGCAATGAAATAGAACACAACACAACAACACAAGAAGCACACTCATACATACTCACGTGAATGGAACACTCATTGCACACAGACAGACGACAGGGCATTTTGTGCATGTGTTCACGTGTTTGTGGGCGTCCGCCAGCAAGACACAGAAATAAAGTTGCAATAAAAAGCAACTCAAAAGCAGATTTCAGAGTTTTTCATTCATAAAAATTATACAAAAAAAAAATACAAAAAACAAATACAACAACAAAAAGAAAGAAAGAAAGCAAAGTAAAACACACACGCACCAAGAGAGCAGCAGCAAAGTCGTCGGATGCGTGTGTTTGTGAGTGCATTGAGTCGAGTTTTTTTCTATACATACAAATGTACGCAAGAGATACAGGCAGAGGCAAAGACTAAAAACCCGTTGCTATCTGCGGCGCTGCGCCGTTATTGATTGTGTGGGGGGAGGCAGTAGGTGAGAGGGCAAGGGCACCCTCATCCTCATGTACCAGGCAGCCAGCTATTTGCCAGTGAATTACTAGCCAACCGGTGGCTACCCCACGTTACTTTCATTACGTTGATTCACTAACAATTCACTATGTGCCATTCCAATATGTACCAGGGAGTCTGCTATTCACCGAAGGTCTGCTAGTGATAAGAGCTGATGGTTCCACTAGAATCCACGTCTTCCATATTTGCGTATGAGAATGTTCATGTTTCCGTTTAGTTGAGAAAAAAAAGTTAAAACATTTTAAATTCGCTCTTTTGCATTGATTGTGCCTGCCTGTCATTAAATTGTAAAAATTACAAAAATCGCAAAAGACGAATGGTATCTGGTCGTGTCATTTGTATCGACTGACGTAAATGACAGAAAATCAACGTCACATTCGTTGTTTAATTCACGTCAGTCGAAGAATGTATTTTATCCAAAATGAAATTTTGTTGTAAGGGGGGGGGATGATGTATAGAGCGAATGGTACTGAGAAGGGAACCATCCCTGAAAGCCTCTGAATTTTCTCATACTCACACTCACAGGGAGTTGGTGGTTTCATTTAGCCCACGTAAAGTAGCAGTAGTTACCGAGGTAGCTACTACGCTTGTCCCGTCAATGGGTAGCAGAGAAGTGTCCCATATTAATAATGGAAAAACGGCAAAAAAGCTTTTCCTTCCGAATCAGTCACATGTTAAAAAAGAATAGAAAAGAAGATCCAAGAGAAATAAACAAACAAACAGGAACACAGGAAAGTTTAAATGCAACAGAGACTGGTTAAATGACGGAGAAAGAGAGAAAGCGAATGGAGCATTCTCATTGGATATGCACTGCGGTCCGGTCGCTGCTCTGCCAGCGTTGACGTCAACGAACTGCAACATGACATTTGCATGCATGCATGTTCAGGCAGAGGCTGGGGCTGCAGCCCTCAAAATGCAGACGTGACGCATGCTTAACAGTTACAGTTACACACATACATACATACATCTATACATAGCTGGAGGCAGCCAGGCCAGGCCATCCGAAGACCCCACTGGATGAAACGGGCGGGATCAGATTCCAGCGCGAAAGCAACACAAAGTAAAATAGCAAACGCTGGCAGAATTCGCCTGGAATTCCGGGGAAAAAAAAACAAACTGAAAACTCCATAGAGCCTGGCTGGAACTGGTGGAGCGCGTGCACAGTCGCCGCCTGATAAATGTGGCGCAGAAGGAACGAAGAAGAAACAAACGGCAATGACGGAATAAGAGCGAAAAATAAGATCGATGGTCAACCGTTTGTGTGAGAGGGGAGGGGTGGGGGGCTGTGGTACGGTGCAATGGTAAAATGGGAATGGAATGCTGGAAGGAATGTGCTGCAGTGCAGATCTTTCTTTTGCTCTCTTTCTCTCACTTACTTTGCCGGATGTCTATTGTTCGGTTTAGAGAGAAAGTTTGAGAACCTTACAGTTTAAAAAAGCAATCATACAGTTGCACAATTACTGAACAGTTTGACAACACATGCATGCATATGTATGTACGTCATTCATAAAAAACAGAAACAGAAATTTTAATTAAAAACAAACGAAAATGAGCAAAAAAAAAACGATGACTTCTCTTCTCCTTCTTGTCTGCTGCTTCTCATTTGATATCTCTCGCTCTTTTTTCGAACTTTTTGTTGTTGGCGGCGACGACGACGACGACGACGACGACTTCGGTCGTCGTCGGACGGTCGGTCGACTGGACTGAAATTACTTCCAAGAAAAATAAACACGATATTAAATGTGCAACATTCCAGTCCAGGCTTCGTTTTTTACCATTGCCTTCTTTCATTCTCACTCCTCATTCCCATACGCGTCTGTCGTTGATCGTGGGCTTTTTGTTGGCAGGGCAGTAGAGTAGGGAAGATGCAGGACAGCATAAGTAGAAGCGTTAGAATACAAAAAACATAACAAAAAACAGAATACAAGAAGAACATACATGTACGGCATGTATGTAAGGTGAGGCATTTAATTTTCGCTCGCTCTCTCACAAGCTGCGTATTTGGCTTGCCACTCTCCCAACCCAACTGTCGATCAGCAATTTGACGACGACTGTACGGAATGCCTTACGCCTTACCTTATTATTCATAAGCCTTGAGCGCAGTCTTGAGGCAGAGCGGAGATAGAAACCAAAAACAAAAAAAGTTTCGGCGCCGCAGCAGCACAAAAACGGCGGCATTGTCGCCATTCTTAGGAGTTTGTGACCAGAGTCGAAGATTTTTTGTTTGGTTCTTCATTTCACTTTGCACCCTCGACGCGGTCTTTCGGTTTGTGTGGTTGATTGTGGTTTTTGGATAATGGACGCATTTCAAATGTCGATATGGCAGCAGGATGCGGCTTATTACTGTATTTATACATTTTACAATCAATATAAAGTTCATGAATATTCGACGGTGTTGGTGATGCACAGGTAACGGTAGCTTTTGGGTGTACACTGTACAGGGAGGGGTCCCCCCACATCTCTTACATATCCTGTCTATGTAGTTTGCATAAGTATTGGTAACTCTCCTCTCTCTCTGTTTAACAATAAGTTCCTTTCCCATTCATCCCATATCTGTAAGCCACTTTCCCATGTGCTCGTTTCGCTTGTAAAATGTGCTTAGATTTTGTATGTTCTTTAGCCTTGTACTACTCGCACACAAACAGACACACACACACACACACAATCACGCCATATGTCGAGTCTGTTTTGCTCCTCCTTTTTGGAAAAAATTAAATTTCGCCGGTTCATGCATGTGTGTATGTGTGTGTTTGTTTTGATGCTCCTTTTGGCTTTTCGCGTGTGATCTACATACAAATTGATGTACATTTTTAGTACAAATTTTAGTACAGACCGTTACTGTGGGTGCTTGTTTTTAGATTTTAGCTTATTCCCTGCCTGCCCTGCGCGCGAGGTTGTGGTGCTCTCTTTAGTGCAAAATTCATATCTTTACTATTCGTGTGTGTGTGTGTGTGTGTGTGGATCGTGATCCCTTTAGTACTAAAGTTTAGTACATCACTTGCATACCAGACACACATACATATGTACGTACTCCCTAAAAACGCTAAATTCTAGATGTTACCATGCGCTGCTACAACTATGGCTTTCTCTCTCTCTCTCTCGCTCTCGCTGTCTCGCTCTCTGCTACTGTCTGTGACGCTGCTGCTCTATTTATTGCATTACCGTTATCCTTTCATGTCATTTCATTTTCTTCATTCCCCTCCCTGTTCCTTATTCATTCCTTGATCATTTCTCTTCTGCGCTTCTCCCTATCCTACTACCCTTCAACATCTCTCTTTTTTTTTTTTGTGTTTTTTGTTATGTTTTTTTCTTCTGGTGTGTGTTTTCGGTTTACTACTGTTTTTTACTACTACTACTACTACTACTGCTACTACAATTACTACTATTTTTTGTTTTCGTTTTTTCTCTCTTTTTTTGTTTTGTTTTCACCGTGTGTGTGTTTTTTTCACGCCATTTTTTTCGCAGTGTTACGACATCAAAACTCTTAATAAGCGGCATACCGATGCAAACACGTTTCGAAGACATCGAACCGCTACTGAAGCCCTTCGGCATCGTGAAACAATGCGAGGCTATTTCTAGTAAGGACCAATCTACTCAAACAGTACATATTACATTCGAAAACCCTGAGCAGGCGCAAAGGTATATACCCCCAAAACAAACCAAAACAAATCGACCCCAATCGACCCAAAACAGATTCTGGCTTAACATCCGGGATTGATTGTCATTAAGAAAAAGAGAAATATATGCACACATATTTGATTGGTTTTATAGAGCAGCAATCTCTCCCTGTTAAAATCGGTGTTAAGCCTGGATATATTTCGTAGAGAGAGAGAGAGAGCTGAGGAGTTTTCCAGGCGGGATGGGATTGTGTGTGTGTGTATGTGTGGGAGGGGGGGATCCTCTTTCTGTTGTTCAATGTTTAGCAAATCAAAACACACCCCGATCTCAACATCTCCACTATATCCCTCTCTTAACAAACGCCCACTAATGGACACATCATCTCTTCTCAAAACCCTTTCCACAGAGCTGCTGGCGGCCTGAACGGAGTCGAATTTGAGGGCAACAAGCTCCATTGCGAGCAACTGGATAAAAACCAGCGTCGCAGTCAGCGCAATCAGCGCAATCCGTACCCGGGAATGCCGGGACCCGGGCGCCAGGCTGACTTTCCGCTGCGTATTCTCGTCCAGAGTGAAATGGTTGGGGCCATTATCGGACGACAGGGCAGCACGATCAGGACAATCACACAGCAGAGTCGGGCCCGTGTGGATGTGCATCGCAAGGAGAATGTCGGCTCCCTGGAGAAGTCGATCACGATCTATGGAAATCCGGAGAATTGCACCAATGCCTGCAAGCGCATTCTGGAGGTGATGCAACAGGAGGCCCTCTCCACGAATAAGGGGTGAGCACTGGATCACTAAAAAAACATATATTCAGATCTTCCTCTATACCATTTGTATGCACTCCATTCCACAGTGAAATCTGCCTAAAGATACTGGCCCACAACAATCTGATTGGTAGGATCATTGGAAAGTCTGGCAACACCATCAAACGGATCATGCAGGACACCGATACGAAGATCACCGTCAGCTCGATCAATGACATTAACAGCTTCAATCTGGAGCGCATCATCACGGTGAAGGGTTTGATCGAGAATATGTCGCGGGCCGAGAACCAGATCAGCACCAAACTGCGCCAGAGCTACGAAAATGACCTACAGGCGATGGCACCGCAGAGCCTTATGTTCCCCGGCCTCCATCCCATGGCAATGATGTCGACACCCGGCAATGGCATGGTCTTTAACACAAGCATGCCGTTCCCATCGTGTCAGAGCTTTGCCATGTCCAAGACGCCGGCCAGCGTGGTGCCGCCCGTCTTCCCCAATGATCTGCAGGAGACGACATATCTCTATATACCGAACAATGCCGTTGGAGCGATCATCGGCACCAAAGGCTCCCATATACGCAGCATAATGCGATTCTCGAATGCATCCCTTAAAATTGCACCCCTCGATGCCGACAAGCCGCTGGACCAACAAACGGAACGTAAAGTAACGATTGTTGGCACACCGGAGGGTCAGTGGAAGGCGCAGTATATGATCTTTGAGAAGATGCGCGAAGAGGGCTTCATGTGCGGCACCGACGATGTTCGTCTAACTGTCGAACTGCTTGTGGCAAGCTCTCAGGTAAAAACACAATACCGCCCAACTTCTCGTTTTTCCCCATATAACAAGTGGTGTCTGTAAAAAAAGGCTATATGGATTGGTTTCGGGCCGTATACGCATTGATTCCTTTAAACTAATTAACTTTCTTCTGCACACACTCACAGGTCGGTCGTATTATCGGCAAGGGAGGCCAGAATGTGCGCGAACTGCAGCGCGTGACGGGCAGTGTCATCAAGCTGCCAGAGCATGCCTTGGCCCCGCCAGCAGGCGGTGATGAGGAGACGCCCGTTCACATCATTGGGCCATTCTACAGCGTACAGGTGAGTGGCTAATCAAGAAAGAGAAGTGGAGCCGGATTGTAATCCAAGTTAATATTGCAGTCCGCCCAGCGTCGCATCCGGGCAATGATGCTGTCCACGAATCCGCCGCCAGTGACCAAGAAACAGAAAGCTGCCAAAGAACAACTGCAACAACAGCAACTGAGCTTAGCCGGTGCTGCGACCAGTGGATCCCAGCAGCTACAGCAACAGCAGCAGCAACTTTCGCCAACGTTGCAGCAGCAGCCACTGCCGCCGCAATCGCATCATCAATCTGTGTCGGCATCGTCGTCGTCATCGCCGCCTGCCCATCATCAGCAGCAGCAGCAGCAAGCGTCATCGGCAGCGACCTCGCACCAATTGCAGCAGCAACCGTCGCCGCCACTGAGCGCCAGCAATGAAACTCTGGCCGCCTCCCAGCAGCAGCTGGCGAGCTCTCAGCAGTAAGAAGCAGTAAGCAGAAAAATCATTAGGGAACGAGGAAGGAGAAGATGTAGCGTCGCAACCAACAAAAGCAACAGCCACAACAGAAATTGGAGGCTGCAACCAGCATACATTGATATCAGCAATAGCCAAGGCAGGGTTTTCTTTTATGTACTACTACTACCACAACTAATACTACTACCACTACTATCGATACTACCTCCGACCCTTGTCTCACAACCACAAACCAATACCATACCACACCCTACCACAACCACCCATAGGCGCCACCTTCGTGCTGGCACAGGCGATCCGCAACAGAAACAGATCAAGACGAAGAAAAAAAAAAAGAAACGGGTAGAAATCGTCATGTGAAAGATGTTCTTCCTAGTTTAACAGTGTATAACAGTTGCGATTACAACTAAAAACCATCCTAAACAACAAGAAAATGTTTAATCAATGCATGCTACGAAATAAAGCGAACTTCTTGAGTAGAAAGAAAAAAATTATGCCCCCCCCCCCACTTTGTGCTGCGTGTCCCATGTATAACAGATATAACAGATATCTGTGGGTGGTTTTCCACCAACAACAACAAAAACACTCGGCAACAGCACAAAGTCCACAGTCACACATATACTTCCGCCACACCCCTGCCCCCCATCGCCGCAGAATGGAGTGCATGAAGGAAAAGCAGAAGCAAAATGAAAAGGAAAAATTTAGCAGTGTATGCGTTATATTTTTTTTAAATATATTTAATTATAACAAGTTAATTCTTAATTATTTTTTTTTAAACAAAACATTTAGTAAGCTTAAATTTAAGCGAAAACAAGATTTGAAAGTCGAGCAGCGAAACGCGTATGGAGAAGGAAAGAAGAGATCGAAATAGAAAAGAATAGAAGAGAAAAGTTTGTTTTGTTTGGACAACAATTATAACAGAAATTATTGTACACATTGTAACCAAAACAAAATAAAACGAAAGATTCAATGCACGATTAAATAGAACAGACAGAACAGATCAGAACAGAAGAGAAGAGATTCAACCCTGTTTACAACAAACAAAAACAAAAACAACAACATACAAGAGAGGAAAAGAAATGAGAAGCACGCCAGGAAGCTGTAACAGCTATATGCAGCACAACAACAGTTGTACATAGTACATATAACAGACCTCAAACACGGAAAAGAAATACATACCTAAACCTAAACCTGAACCCAAACCCCAAGCCAACCCTCCCCTACTAAAAACAACCAAACCAACAACAATAACTAAGCAAAGAAAACTATCTAATGTATACAATATAGTAAGGAGCTGAGCCTCGAGCTCCCATTGTAATGGATGTAATAGATGGATCGAAGGATGGAAGGAGTGAGCATTATGGGGAATCTGATTTCCCGGTAATGCCTAGCGGGAGCAATGTTTATCTGTACTGTACAGCTGTAAAATAGTCTTGTCGATGACTGGAAGAGAAAGTTGTTTGCATTGATAGCTCTTTTTTTTGTTTGTGTGTGGCAAGAAGTTACAAGAATTGTTGATTATACTTATAGGAGGAGAACAGAAGGAGACGCGATTAGAGGGCGAGAGCTGGAGCGCAAGCAAAAGGCGAGAGAGGGATAAGTGTTAAAGAAACTATTGTAATGTGTTTGCCTTGAAATGAAAACAAAAGAAACAAAAAAAAAATGAATACAAATACGAAACGAGAAAAGAAAGTGAAAGAAACTAACTAGAAATGAAATAACGGTGCTGAAATGTTAATTTTTTTTAATCGAACGAAGTTGATCGTTACGTTACGTTACATTAAGTGTTACGTTATAACGTTTGAGCGTGTATGAGAGACAAGCTGTTATACATGGATGGGACACCACACAGATATATAAACAGATATACATAGACCCAATCAAAAATCCAAAACCCCCCCACATACAATAACAACTAAATCGAACTGAAGAGTGCATTTAATGTGGTTGAAACCATATGGTGAAGGTAGCTGAACATACTACTGCAGCAGTAGCACAGTAGAGAGCAGTTGAACAGTATCCAAGCCATAGCTAAAGTAACCGCAATCCAAGTAACTGAATACCGAGCAGCAAACAATCAAACTACAATCAACAATCAAGCCAAAAGCATACATACATATATAGCATCTGCAATAGCCCAATTCTGTGATGTTTTAAGGCATCATCTATTACCTATTAACTAATAATTAACGTAAATGTTACAAATACTAGTAGCTATTCCATAGAATTAATGTAACAAATCAAATCAAATCTAACCAAACCCGGAGCTCCAACCAGTCCAACCCTTTTGTTTGTATAACACTTGCATCAGAGACAGACAGAGAGAAAGATAACTGTTATATTCAGGCACCCAAAAGTAAATAAAAACTAAAAAAAAAGGAAAAATCAACATTTCGGCAAACCAAATAACAAAACAAGCAAAAAAAAAAAACAAAAAAAACATTTCGGTCAAAACAAGCAACAAGCAAGAAAACTTTTGAGTGGCAAAATTTTGTGGAACAACGCGAAAAATCACAAAGAAGAGATGAACAACATTTTTGGACAAAATTCAAGAAGCATTTTAAGCCAGCAAGCAGCGTGTACAAGCTTAGGGGCAGCCCAATTTTTTGAAATATCACATTTTCCTTGTTCTTTTTAAGAAGAAACAAAGGGAAGTAAAACATAAGAAGAACTTTGATGAAGAAGATTGAAAAAGTAATTAAAATACCTCAATGTAAGTGCATTATCTTCTACAAAAAGAAAAAACAAAGCAAAAAAAAAAAAAAAACAAAGAACGTTCATAATGAATAGATATCCTAAAAATGAGCTAAACAGAAATGAAATAAAAATAAAAAGGAAAAATAAAAACGAAATACGAGAAACTTAAACATTAAAGCTAGTGTGTAAGCAAAAGAGAAATTTAACGGAAAAAAAAACAAGAAAAATGAGAATGAAAGAAAACCCAGAAAGAAAAACAACCAGCAAAAAAATACCAACCAGAACAAGCAAACAAAAGGAAATGATTTAATCTTTGGAAAAGGCATATCATCTAATCATCTAAAAAAAGGAAAGAAAGAAAGCTTGTAAACCAATTTCGATAGTAAATCTTCCAACACAAAGAGAATCTTTTAGGAACGGTTTTCCGCAAGCCAAAGCCTAACCCCAATCCAATCAAATCAAATCACACAGCAACCAATCAAACCAATCAATCAATCAATCAATCAATCACCCACCAAAGCCCTATGCGACAAAAGTTTTGGGTCGAACTCCCCACCCAGATAATATACATATGCCAGACCCAACTGAAACTGAAACAGATTCAACTGAGGAAATCTAGGGATGGGATGAATGTAAGAGGAGGAGGAGCAGTAGAAGGATAAACAGATGCAGATAGGATGGGAAGTGTATATAAGAATGTTGCTAGGCATTAACATTGATCTATATATACGGGAATCAAGCCACTATATATATATGCGATAATATATATGTATATGTTGAAAATGCGTGACATTTTGTTTTGTTATACTTGAGAATCTATATATGTGTTATATATATACAAATCTAATCATTTTTGTCCCTGTTTTTAATAACAATAATTATTCTAATTGATTATTATAATTATATTTTTTTTAATTTTTTTTCTGTGGAAAAATGTCCAAAGTTGTCAATACAAAGACCTATACATATACATATATATATATATATATATAGCATGTGGAACTATGCTTAAAAAACGATATTTATAAAGAACGAAAGTGAGGAATTTTTCTAAAAGATTCCCCGGCTAAGAAGAGGATGATTCGAAGAAGATAGTAAAGAAAGAACAAAGAAATGAAAACTATTATTCCAAATGCTGAATCAAAGAAAAGTCAGATAGATCAGATCGAGGCGAGTCGAGTCGAGAAGGAAAGAGGATTTATTTAAGCTATAGCTCTGGTTTATTTCGATGGGGGTTAAACAGGATATGATACGATAATATGAGTATAAATAAAAAAGAAATAACAAAAAGAACGGAAAACTGAAAACTTGTGAGTTAGCGTGCGCGTTGAAACGTTGAAAACGAAGACAAAGATAAGGATAGGGATAAAGGTAAAGATAACGATAACGATAGTGACGGAGGAGGAAGAAAGAGTTGTAATTTGGGGAATGTCGCGAATGGAAAGTGAATGGGAAGAGCAGAAACGAAATTATTTTTTAGTATTTAGAGGCTATTTTATATCGTTATTAAAGCATGAAATGAGAAAAGAAGGTGTAGGAACGGTTAGAAAGGAAACGAACATACATAAAAGCGGAAAAAGTGAGTAGGTTTGGCAAGAGCAAACGTGATTTCAACCCAAAAGGGAAGGGAAAAACTGACCAAAATTTTACCAGAGAACCACTTTGGCATGTGTGTGTGTGCATTTCTGTATTTCTATATTTCTTCGACAAGTACAGTCGACACCATAGCGGACAGTGTATCAGCGTCCGTCCTCGTGTACAGTCCAACCAAAATGTTTGTCAATCTTTCAATTCATTCTACATATTTTCTCCTGGAACTACTTTGCCATTCACTCTTTCACACACACACACACACACGCCACATTTTTTATGCAGTTTTTCCCTTCGGAAAATGTTTAAAAAGTTGAAGTTTAGTTCTGTTTTTTGGGCAAACTAAAATAATAGAGAGAAGAAAACAAAAAATGAAAAATTAATGGGAGAAGAGAAAAGGAATAATGAGAAAAGTACTTTTTTGTGTTGTAAGTTGTGCCAAGTACTGATAACGTTTAAGGTGTGATAAACTCGTTTTTAAATTTAACAACTATTTAAACTATAAAAAAAAACTACTTACTAAAACAAAACAACAAAAAAAAAAAAAATGAAAATTTATAAAAAAAAATCTACTATTATTATTTAACGACAACAAAAAATGCTTTTGATGTACATTTTATACACAAACACCTAGACACTTTCAATCACACATACAAACACATGCAAAAAAAAAAAACCCACACACACTCAGACACACACCAAACCACAAAAGTACTTTGACAACTCAATTCAGGAACAGCAGAGGAAGAAGACCAAATGAACCCACAACTTCAACCAGAAAAAAACAACCAAAATTTGCTTTGCCATCACAAGATTTTACTTGATTTAATTTAGTTTGGTTTATTTAAACGTTTTAATTTCTAATAACTAGAGGAAGTTTGTACTCTTCGAAAGACGATGAAGGATAAAGGGAAACTGTACAGAAGAAAGAAGC